CTTGTACACTGAAATTATGAAACATTACTGAAAGAAGTTGAAGAAGAATCTTTAATTTAGGGAAATTAAAGAAAAATCTTTAATAAAGGGAAAGCTATTTTATGTTCATGCATCAGAAGACTTAATATTGCTAAGGTGGCAATACTCCCAAAATTGATCTACAGATTCAATAAAATCTCTATCCAAGTCTCAGGTAATTCTTTGGAAGAAATTAAGCTGATTATAAAATCTATATGGGAAAGCAAGAAGCCCAGATTAGAGGAAAAAATTCTAAGAACAAAGTTGGATAACTCACATGTTTCGACTTAAAAGTTTACTGAAATTCTATGGTAATTAAGATAGTGTGGTACTGCCATAAAAATGGAAACAGAATAATGGAATCAAATAAAGGCTAAAAAAATAAACCCTTAGATTTATTATAGAAATTTAAAAAATTATACTTCAAGGGATACCAGCAAGAATGTGAAGAGGCAAGCCACAAAATGGAAAAAAATTTACATTATTTATCTAGCAAGGGATTTGTCTTACATTAAAAAGAGTTTTAACTCAACAATAGAAAGGCAAGCAACCAAATAAAAAATGAGCAAATAATCTGAATAGACATTTCTCCAAGTAAATATTGACTATTTCTCCAAGGAAGATATACAACTGGCCAATAAGCACACAAAAATCATGCTCAATATAATTATTCACTAGGGAAATGTATATCCAAATCACAATGAGCTACCACTTCACACTCATTAGGATGATTAAAATAAAAAAGACAAGTATAAGCAAGGATGTGGAAAAAATAACCTAGAAATCCCATTTCTAGGTATTTAAACTTGTACGTGAATGCTCACAGCAGCATTATTTGTGGTAGCCAAACGTGGAAACAACCCAAATGTTCATCATGAATGAATAGATAAACAAAATGCGATATGTCCATACCTGTAATTTATAAAGTCATAAAAATGAATGACGTACCCATGCATAATACAACGTGAATGAACCTTGGAAACATGTGAAGTGAAAGAAGCCAGCCACAAAATATCACATATCATATGAGTTCATTGCTATGAAATATCCGTGACAGGCAAATCCATAGAGTCAACAGGTAGATTGGAGGTTGCTCAGAAGCAGTTAGCGGAAACAGGGAGTGACTGCTAATTGGACTGGGAATTTTTAAGGAGTAGTGAAATGTTTTAAAGTAAAACAGTCATAACTGTTGCATAATTCTGAATATACTAAAATCATTGGATTGTACATTTGACAAAGTGAGTTTTCTGACTTTTATTGTACTTCAATAAAGCTGTTATTTCTTTTCTTTTTTTTAATAATTCTAAAATCTAAAGTTACTGATTTTTTTTATTGCATTTTAGGTTTTGGGGTACATGTGCAGATCATGCAAGATAGTTGCATAGATACACATATGTTATTACAAAACAATGCATAAATTAAGTTGAAAACAGTGTCAGCATTAGAATCCTAGACTCCTAAGATCTGAATGAATCTTGATCATTTTCTAGGACAATGATCTTCAGCCATCAAGTAATGGACCCAGGATTTGAAACCAAGTCTGGTTGTATTTGTCACTACTGACTTGAATTAGTTAACAGACTAGAAATTCCCCATTTTCTCAACATTGTAGACATGCAAGAATCAACTACATTAGCTGGAAGGATCCTACTGAAGAACTAAAATCCTCCTAGCAGCTGGAGGCTGTAAATCTTAGCATTGGAAGTTAGTGTGAGGCCAGCTTATTAGTCATAATTAGAAGTCCTTAGCATTTCAGAAAGGCTCTTTGTTTGTTGAACTGGACACTGTCTCTTGAAAGGAATAATGCAAATCTTTCAATTTATTTTATTTTATTCTGTTTTTCCTACCACAGTGAGGTAGTGTCTGGGTGAAAACATTCCTTTTCTTCTCATTTCTTCTCCCAGAGGACCCTTTTCATAGAATGCTTTTTAACTTGGCAGTTATTTTGATTAGAGTATAAAATTCGCCTTTTATGCAGAAGGATGTTTTTTTCCGAAAGCTTCTAGCGTCATTGCAGCTATTTGGCAGCATGTGGAGGATGGGGAATGCATATCCACCCTTGATGCGGAGGCCGAAGGCTTTGGCTGCAAGCATGATAGAATCCAGGGAGTGGCTAGCAGCTCCTTTTACATGCTAGGCCACTGGCCATTGAAGGCATAAAGAGGGCTTTATTTTAATGGGGCAGCTGGTAGGAGGGCTGCCTAAAGTCAAGCTGTGGTAACCAATACAACTGTTGGAAATGGTAAACAAATTGCAGCGCTTTTTCAAAGACTTCCCAGAATTGCCTGGGAGGTGGGTGAGTCCACCTCCCCCATCCCAACCAAGGAGGCTGTGACAGAGGGACTTTCGTCTGAGAGACTGCTGTCGGTTCGCATTTTTACTTTCAAAATGAAAAGTGAGGACCTGAGGCCTTAGAAAAGGATGGCCATGCGGCTGTATCTCACTTCTCCAACAGGAGACTGTCCCGCAGGAATAGGAAGCAAACCCAGTCATCGGTGGAACACCTTGAGGGCTGGGTTCTCATTGAGGGATTTTGCACACATCATCTTCTTTAATACCCACAAGAACCTTTGGTGGCAGCTAATCTTAACCACATTATATATATATATAGATAATTTCTATATAAAAGATTAAATATTAAGAAAAAGACCTGTAATTTGAATGCAGACCTGTGTTGGTCCAGGCACATGCCACTATGTCCCGTAGCCTCACCATAGAATAGAAGAAACGATTTATTTGACAATTCTATGAGAGTTCTTCGTACAACTTAGAGTTAAAGAAATAGTTCATGTTTTAATTAGAAACATATTTTTTCTTTGTTATCTTTTTTCTTTTCCTTTCTGAGGCTCCTCATCTAACCCATTAGTAGGAGGTAATATCTTATCTGTTTAGCACCATTGCTTGACTTCATTTATTTATTCACTCAACAAGCATTGACTAAGCAAATGAGATGTTTACAAAGAGTGTGGATGTAAGAGTAAAATTGTAAGCAAAATGTCTGACCCCACAGATGATGTATTTTCGTGAAAGGGAACCAATAATAAATGAATGTTTCTACAATCCCATAGGAGTTAGTGCTAAGTGCTTTGAAAAAATAGAGTAGGGGGTGTTAGGGAGAAAAAGAGTGTGCCTACTTAGGTCTGCTGCTCAGAAGACGGTTCCTTGAGGCAATAACATTTGAGCAAAGCCCTGAGTAAAATGAAACTGTACACCATACAGATATCTGAGAGAATATTCCAGGTGGAAAAACCCATTAGTATCGCCTAAGCGAATGTTCTGGAAGCAATTGTTGGAGGCATCAGTATCCCTCCAACAACTTTTCATGCTGGAGAATTTTTATTCAGTAGATGAAGGTCTGTGTACCATGCTAGCAGCATCATGGTGACAAGCTGACTCTACAGCTGCTGCAGAGAGCTATAGCCCAGCAGTGACCCACAGAAGTGAGTTTAACCTGATGAATGGGGGAAAAAAATCCTTATAACATGGATTTTTCTGGAAAAGGACCCATGTTTTTAATAAAAAGCCATAATAGATTTAATAAAAATGTTAGGCTTTATGGGCCTTAGGCTTTCTTCAACAACTCAACTTTGTCACTGAAGCAGAAAAGCGTCTGTGACATAAATAAACCAATGAGTTCCACTATGATTCAACCAAACTGCACCAGCGCAGGCTGGTTGGGGACTCCCCACCTAGAGTTATACTATTTGACATCCAGATGGATGTCTGCTGTTACAGGAAAGATGGCCAACTGTTAGGTTTTTAAAAATTTCTTTCTGGTTCTTCTCTTTGCTCTGCTATCTCTGCTGTCACTGCCTGCTTCCTGCACTGGCCCCTCCAACACCTCAGTTGGCGCTTCGCCTGTGCCATGGGCTGGTCATCCCAGTATCAATCACGTTACAGTTTTATGAAAATTAAGAGTAAAAAGTTCTAAGTTAAGAAAAACTATGTAAAGGGACAAGGGGGAAACATAAGTCAGCGCCCAAAGATACACTGCCAATGCTTCAGAACACGAACTTTCTGAGGGTTATTCTGGAGGCTCTGGGATCTTTGTCTTTTCCCGTGTTATTTCATGAAATCTGGAGGGCTCAGGATTCTGGGTAAGGAAAATGAGATGGGACTGTAACATGAAAACCCATTTATTTGGATCCTACTCACACTTCGAAAAAAACTGTTATGCTTTGCTTTTTTCCACAGATTATTTTTCATGAGAACAAAATAAATATCCATAGTGAGTCACGACTATAAATATATGGAGTGCCCAGCGTATGGAGCCCTTTCTCCAAGACCTCGCTGCCATAAATACAAATACAACTGAGAACTGGTGACTGTTGGAATAGAGGGCTAGGTGGTACTTCACACTAGCTTTTGGGGCCACATAGAGGTGTAATCAGGTTATCACCCAGCACAACCCCAGACGGTACCATTCACAACCCATTTAGCCAAACATTGCAGCTCTGGAAGGAATGATGATTGAAAACCAAGACTGAGCTTTGGCAAGGAAACCACCTCTGAGTTACCGTCTCTGTCTGTAATGTAATGATAGTATCTACCTCTTAGTGATGTGTGAACACTATATGAATAAAGCATGAGCAAAGACCTGCTCTGTTCTTGGTACTTAGTGGATACTCAATAACACATTTTTTCTTCCATGCATAAATAGATAAATGAAGGCATTCAAAACAATAGTTCATAATAAAGAAATTAGTTTCAGAAAATTTAATTTAAACCACAGAAAATTGAGAAAAAATAGATTTGATACTTTTTCTCCTACACATCTAGAGGCAATGGGATTTTCCAGTTTCAGTTACCTGCAGATGTCTGTTTCCTACCACTCACTGACACCTCCTTTCCTCACTAAAGCAAACGTCCTCTTCCACAAACACTCTTCCTAAGTGAAGCTGGACTGTATTAACTTCAAAGAGTGTTAATAATCCACTATACTCATGATCTCTCATGATATTTTTAGATAATTACAACTCACTATATAACAAAGTTTTGGTACATTGCAATACAACTATGCAGACATTGAAGATCTTATAAAACAAGAGGGTAGTTTCATGAATGACAAATTTTCAAAACACACATCTGATTATGCCATTAATTTCCTCCTCCCTAGTCTAGGACCTGTTGTTGTTCACTTCTTGTGGGTGTCAGGTCATGGCACATTCTGTCTCAGAAAGCCCCTCCTCAATAAACCTTCTTTGATAACTCTGTCCCACTGTCCCTTAACAGGGTGGAGAGACACAACCCCTGACTTCTGTCTTTCTCCTTGCCACGCCTGGAAATCTGCTTATTACAGCATTGGGATTGGATGATTCCCAAACTAGGTACTCTTTCCTTTCCTCTCCCTGACGTTACATGATTAGTTCTTGAATTTCAGAGAGGGTATCTCTATCTTAATTCACCTCTGAATCTGCAGAATTCAGTCCATTGACCATGACTCAGCAGGCAAAGTGACAATTGTTGAGTGGATGTTTGATCTACATAGGATGATAGCTGTTCAGAGTGGCCTCCTCACTGCTATACAGACACCTCTGGACTTGTCCTGAAGGTAGACTTTTAAATACATTTCTGGAATTTTCTTTCTTCGTTTTCACTAACTCCATTCTTATTCCTAGGTAATTCAAATAAACTTGGTTATTTGTGATTTCTCAATTCATGGCAGATTAAAAGAAAAATCAGAATATGGCATTCTTTAGAAGGGGAACTTAAGCATGAACATTTACTTTTGTTCCCTTTGAAGGTAGAGAGGGAGGGGGAAGTCATCTGGAAGGAGGAACAATCTTCCCTGATCACATGAAGTGGGTTCTCATGTGATGCAATATCCCCACAGGAGGAAACCAAGGGGAGGGGCTGCTGGCCAGTGGCCACCAGGCTCCCAGAGCTGGAATTCAAAGCCATGGATGGAGAGCCAAACTCTGCGTGTGCTTCGCCTATTAGGCTGTAAGTGAGTAATAATGACAACATAGAGAATAGGCAAAGTTAGACGGATGTTTCTGAGCCTAGAGACTCGTTCCTTGGCAGCATGTTTTTAAAATGCTAGGTTTCCAAAAAAATATTACGAGAGTTTGTTGAAGAATTTTGCTGTTAACTTCAACTTTAGGTATGCTTATTACACTTCTGAGCTTAAAATAATAAAAGGTCATTTGGACCATAATTTCTGAATCTTGATTGTGTTATATGCCTCTAAGATAAACTTCATTCTTCCTGTGCATCACAGGTTGGTCCTGGACAATCAGAAACCAAAGCAGAAAGCAAACAGTAGGGTTCTGCCCCTAATTACAGGTCTCACTTTTGGTTCTTTCACAGAAGAAAGTAGGAAAACTCCTAGTGCAGAGGAAATTCTGCTGTGTTACTCTTAGGCTGTAATCAGACCGTATCACTGATATTTCATTTCAATTCTTGATATAAGCAGTGTTCCTTAAAACAGAAAACTATAATTTCTAAGCTGTAGAATCAATAGATTTCTCTGCAATTTCTTTCAGTTGGCATTTAATAACTCCACTAAGTAAATTTCCAACCTATGACTGAACTCAACCCATACTGTTGACAAATTGAAAGTATAATTTACCTGGCAGTTTTTAAAAAAAGCCAACTTTTTTTCATTTAATTACATCATGGAAAGAACTCAGATACGAAGTTGAGTTCAGATGTTTTAACACTGCTATTTTTGAAGCCCCACACTCAGCCTTGCAGGGGGACAAAGGGAGACAGACATTTAAACACAAGTGCAGTACCTTTTTACAAATACAAATATAGTTGTTCAAAGGGTAGAAATGATGAGAGGAGGGATGTGTAAGATGTGTCTAGAAGATGCATTGAAGACTTTGCTCAAAAGGGGATTTCTCAGTAAGGCTTTGACTATTAATAATATGCAGAAATTTGTGAGGTGTATACAGCTCTGGAGAGGGGTTCAAGCAGAGGCACTCAGAGGTACAAAAGCAAACGGGCATGGATTTATTAGCCTCATTTGATCATTCCACAATGTATAAATGTATTGAACATTACACTGAACCCTGTAAACATATACAATTATTATTTTCCAATTAAAAATAGAATTATGCTTAAAAACTACACAAATGGGCAAGGATCAGCATGATGTCTGAAGAAAGACAGAAGGAATTGAGAAGTGCTACAGATGAACAGGTTCAGCCCCTACATTTTGCAGTAGGGCTGCAAAGCAAGACATGAGATGAGGTAAAATGAATATTAATGTTACTGAATACTGATGTGGGATCAACTCAGACACTATAAAAAACTCAAATACCTAAGACTTATAGTAAAGCTTGGCTTACACCAGTTCATTACTTTGGGATGATTTAACTAAATAACCAATTTAAAAATCTTAAAACACTTTTAATTAATTTCCAAAGGCACAGAGGATGCACTTATATATTCCCTATCCAAATATTAATCCCCACTCATTGTTAAATCCTGGAATAAATACAGGTAGTTTAAATCCTGGATTGGTGAAGTTAACATTCATTCTTAGAAGAAAAAAACCAAAAGACTTAACACTATTAAATCCTACCTCTAATTAAAATTAGGAAGAGATTTAAATTAATATCCAGAAATAAGCCAACAGCTCAAAGAAATGAATACAAATGTTGGAAATGGTTATATTTTCCAGCAAATATTAATACATTCTAAACACATCTGCTCAGACTGCATTTGACCATGCAGGAAGTCACTCCTGTAATGACTCTTAGTAAGAGACTGACCGAGCAAAAACATTTCAATTCTGGCGGCTTATTTTCAAAACTTATATTTGATGTTTTCAAAAATGAAGAAGCTAGGTTAAGTGCACAGCCCCATCTGTATCCCTGAAATTCCTCTCCCTGTGTGCCAAAGATTTATTTTTAACAGCATTCAAGATATTCATTAACCTGGCAGGAATTCCAGAGGCAAGTTATGATTTTTGCCATTAAGGCATGCCTCATTTGCAAACCTTGAGTCCACAGACTGCCCTGGGTGGATAAATTGGGATTGCGTCCAAGAAGGCCGGAGGTTGGCCCTAGGATAAGCCATACCTCCTCTTCGCATCTCTAAAGCTGAAATTGAATTGTCATGAACATTACTTGGCATGGTGGCCATGTGTGCACATTGTATAAGGAACTCTGTCCTCTCACTTCATTCCTTGCTGCCCAGAAGGCCCACCTCCATTGCCTTTCCCTCAGACTCTCACGTGGGGTTCTTAGCTCATCTTCCCCTCTCCAGTGTTAATAGTGCTGCTGAACTATTAACTTAAATAAGTGTCCAAATACATCCTTTCTGGGCACTGTGGCTCATGCCTGTAATCCTAGCACTTGGAAGGCTGAGGCAGGTGGATCATGTGAGGTCAGGAGTTCGAGGCCAACTTGACCAACATGAAGAAACTCCATCTCTACTAAAAATACAAAATTAGCCAACTGTGGTAGCCCGTGGCTGTAATCATAGCAATTCGGGAGGCTGAGACAGGAGAATCACTTGAACCTGGGAGGTGGAGGTTGCAGTGAGCTGAGATCACGGCATTGCACTCAGCCTGGGCAACAAGAGGGAAACTCCTTCTCAAAATCAATAGATAAATAAATAAAATAAATACATCCATTATGAACTGTCTGTTGACTATAGCATAACCAATCACATGCATAAGCCCTGCATTCATAATGAGACCCAGCATATTTTGCCAAAAACGGCCTTCTAGTCAAGCTGCTCCCAACCTCCAGGCCATCCCAAACTCAGTCCCTGCTCTGTCGCTTTGAGCATTATGACTCTCTGCCTGATAGTTCATGTTGCTGTTTCTCGCTCAACTCAAAAAAAATGAAACAAAAATGCTTCCATCGAGAAACTTCCCAAGATTCTCCTCCTGCATAAGTGGCCCTCTCTAATTTGACTGGGGACTCCTTGAGAAAGAACCTATGCTTTATTATTCTTTGTCTCCAGAGTGAAGCCTAGAGCCTGGCATGAAGTCATGTTTGGTAAATGATGGCTGGATTCCATTGCCTGTATGGGCCAGGTGTCAACCACGCTGAGATACATGTGAGTGGCCTTTCCTGTCTCCTCCTGGCAATTCTGAGCAGCTTAACTGAACTCAGCAAGAGGCAGAGTTCAGTTAATTTTGTTCCATGATCTGCAGGCCTGTGATAGGGGATGGAAGATTACAGTCATTCAAAGAAGGACTCACAGCATGAAGCTTAGAGGTATGCATATGGGCTGCCCCACAGGCTGATCCCACAGGCCCTGGGGATTTTCTCCTCTGGATATGTGAATCTCTGTGGCAACCACATTTCCCAAAGCTTCTTTCAGGGGAAAGGGACTATTTTAGGTAATGAAGACTTTGGTCACACTTCAAACATACCACTCTTAAGGAAAACAAAAACTGGAGCCCTTCTTCCTAAAAACTTTCCCATTCTCTTTATTCTTCTTTCTACTTAATCCAGTGCCTCTGTGCTGAAGGAGGCAGCTGGAGCCAAGAAAGGAGTCTCTCTAACCCTGGGAAATGATCCAAAATGCCTGTGGTGGGTGAAGTATGGAGCAAACCCCCTCATTTCACACCCAAAGCCTGTCCCATTTTGGCATCAGGCTACATAACCACCCTTTTCTCTCCCTAAGTCAAAATTTAGCACTTACCGCTCTGCAAATTTGTTACCCAAGTATTCTTTCTAGTGTCTTTGATTAATAACAGTAGCACACTAAAGTGAAGATACAAAAACACAAGTGTGTATACATAAATGTATACACACAATATATATATACATACATATACATATGTGTCTGTATATATATATATATAACATATATATATAGAGAGAGAGAGAGAGAAAGAGGGAGAGAGAAAGAGAAAAAAGTTGTCTTGAAACCTTCTGAAAGCTGTAAGGCAGGTGCTGTTTGCTGGATTTTACAAGGGGGCAAACTGAGGCTCAAAGGATAAGTTCATTTCTCATGCGCAGTGAATGAACAGGCTAGATTTGAACTCCAGTTTGCGGTACCTTTGGTACTTTCTCTAAATGATCCTGCCATGCATCTTCTCCAGAAAGCACAACTAATTATACATCTAAGTCAAAGCCCAGAAAAAAGAGTTCGTGGTAAAGAAGCAATGTAAGGTTCAGAGACAAATTATTTCCTTGCCATTTCTAGTCCTCATGCTTTCAGCTTTTGTTGGGTTATGTCTGCTTAGTGAAACATCAATATCTTTACACTCCACTATTTTATTAAGTATATTAAACAGGGGAATTGCACTCACAAAATGTACTTTGAGAAATACAAATGTTCTGCAAACAGAGGCAGTATTAGAATTGTTATCACTGTTGTGAGCATTCGCCTTGCTATAGTTTGTTGGTTTGTTGTTTCATCTATTCGTTTTTATTGTACATAGATTGGGTGGAGCCTACTAATTGCTTCCTCAATATTCATTTTCCTTTTCTTCTTAATTGATGAGGTTTCTTGTGTTTGCTCATTGGCAATGTTCTCATCTAAAAACTACATTTGTGATTGTCCCCTGGTTAAAGATGGCCATGTGATACACTTTGGGATAACTTTGTGGAAGCAGAAATCACTAGGCAAACTTAGAAAAGACCCTTAAAAGTGGACTTGGCTGGCCAATATCTTTTAACCACCTTCCTTTCCATTTTTTGTTTTTCTAGAATGCAGACATAGAGGTTGGAGTTGTTGGGATTTGAGCATCTTGTAACTATGCAGACAATATATAACAAGACAGACACAAGGACTTCATTCTCAACATTCTTAAGCCAAGAAATCATAGCCAGCAAAACACCTATCATTAACTTCTTATGTGAGAGAATAAAAATAAACATCTAACTTCTTTAAGCTTCCATTATGTGAATTTTCTTTTGTGTGTTGCTAAACTCAATCCTTCAGTGACATAGCCATCCAGAAGAAGCAAAGTATATTGTAAAAGTCCGAGACTAGAAGTCTGAGGTCTCTTCACTGATCTTCTGGCTGTGATTCTTTTCTTTATGCCTAGCAAGTCTCCATATGTTAGCTGGGTTGGTCTTTCTACTGCCTTGTTTTAACTATTACAACAAATTTTCATTGTTTAAAGACAAAGTCCCAAACACTTGTAATTAGAAGTCCCTTCTAGATCTGGCCCCTGCCTGCCTCCCCATCCTCATAACTCATTTCATTGCCACTCTCTTTCCCCTGTAGCCACAGTGATCTTTTTCCCTGATGCACTGCATGGGTATTTGGTTTTCCATTCTAATTGGTATTCCTTTTGTTCACAGCATTCTCCCCATGAAGACTTTCTCTTTAAATATCAAAATAAATGGAACACTGTTCACAAATACCTTTTATGTCTCTGTGGCTATCCCTTTTAGAAAAATTGCATTTAGTCTCTCAATGTCTTGCTCACTGGACTGTTCCCAGTGTTTTGCCCACTAGAGAGGTGATGATGAGAGAAGGGGCCCTGATGTGTCTTGTTTATAATAATATCCCTAAAAAGTATTCTAGTGCTAGGCATAAGGAAAATGCTGAACTTATGATATGAGTGTAAACTTCAGAAAGTCATCTGTCTTGTCTCAGTTTTGCTTCTGGGAGAAACCTAAAAGAAGGCTTCAAATGCAAATTTATTTGGAAGCTGATCCAAGGAAAAACTAGGGGAGTAAGAAAGTAAGAGACAGAAAAAAAAATAAGAAGCTAATAAGGGAGATATTATTATATCAAGCAATGTTTGATTATGCACATTATGGCACTGTGGACAGCTTATTTCTTTTTTTTTTTGAGAGAAGGAAAGAAAAAGAGGAGTCAAGGAGAAGAAGAAAGAGGAAGAAAAAGAGGGAGAGAGAATGGAAATGTTGCTTTATTCTAAAAAATGGGTATTAATAATGGCCGATCAATATTTTATTTAAACCTATGAGTAGGTGTGATGTGGTATCAACAAGGATGTATATTTTGTATATTTAAAGTGGAGAGCTCTATAAATATTTATTAAGTTTACTTGTTCCAGATCTGAGTTCGAGTCCTGGATATCCTTATTAATTTTCTGTCTCATTGAGTCTAAGTCTCTATGTATCTGGGTCTTGTTACATAGTTACATAAATCGTTACATAGCAACAAGATCGCTAGTTCTTGTTGTTGCATTGATCTGCTTATCACTATATCTTTGTTGCTTTAAAATCTATTTTATCAGATGCGAGAATTGCAACTCCTGCTTTTTATTTATTTATTTATTTTTGCTCTCTATTTGGTTGGTAAATCTTTCTCCATCCCTTTGTTTTGAGTCTTTGTGTTTCCTTGAATGTGAAATGGGTCTGGATGTAGCATACCGTTGGGTTTTGGCTGTATCTTTTGATTGGGGGATTTAGTCAATTTAAATTTAGGATTACTGCCATTTGATGTTAACTGGCTGTTTTATCCATTCGTTGATGTAAATTCTTCTTTATGTTGATGCTCTTTACTTTTTGGTATATTTTTAGAAAGGCTAATACTGGTTGTTTCTTTCAGAAGCTCTTGTAAAGCTGGCCTGGTGGTAATAAAATCTCTGAGTACTTGCTCGTTCATAAAAGATTTTATTTTTCCTTCAGTTGTGAAGCTTAGTTTGGCTGGATATGAAATTCTGGGCTGAAAGTTCTGTTCTTTAAGAATGTTGAATATTGGCCCCCACTCTCTTCTGGCTTGTAGGGTTTCTGCTGAGAATCTGCTGTAAGTCTGATAGGCTTCCCTTTGTGGGTAATCTGACCTTTCTCTCTGGTTGCCCTTAGTATTTTCTCCTTCATTTCAATCCTGGTGAATCTAACGATTATGTGCCTTGGGGTTGCTCTTCTTGAGGAATATCTTTGTGGTGTTCTCTGTATTACCTGGGGTTGAATATTGTCCTGCTTTGCTAGGTTGGGAAAATTTTCCTGAATAATATCCTGAAGAGTATTTTCCAGCTTGGATTCGTTCTCTCTGTTGCATTCAGGTACACCTATCAAATGTAAATTAGGTCTTTTCACATAGTCCCATATTTCTTGGAGACTTTGCTCATTCCCTTTTATCCTCTTTTCTCTATTCTTGTCTTCTCGTTTTATTTCATTAAGTTGGTCTTTGACCTTTGATATCCTTTCTTCTGCTTGATCAATTCGAGTGTTTAAACCTGTGCATACTTCTCGGAGTTCCCATATTGTATTCTTCAGTTCCATTAATTCACTTATATTCCTCTCTAAATTGTCTATTCTCATTAGGATTTCGTCAAACATTTTTTCAAAGTTCTTAGTTTCTTTACATTGGGCTACAACATGTTCTTTTACCTCATGGAAGTTTCTTATTATCCATCTTCTGAAGCCTGATTCTGTTAATGGGATGCACTCGTTCTCCATCAAGCCTTATTCCCTTGTTGAGGAGGAACTATGATCCTCTTTAGAGGGAGAGGCATTCTGATTTTGACTATTCTCAGCCTTTTTATGCCGGTTTCTTCCCATTATTGTAAATTTATCCACCTGTCGTCTTTGTAATTACCAACTTTCAAATTAGGTCTCTGAGTGGACGTCCAAGTTGTTAATTCCCAGGGCTGAAATATGAGCAACCCACTGCACCAGCCAAAACAGCAGCGTTAAGACTGATGGTGCTTTTCTGTCTGGGAATCTCCAGTCTGGCTTCCTTCTTGAGTCCGTAATAGGTGACTCTGCCTTCCCGGAGCTCCAAACATGGGTCAGAAGGGGAACCAGTCCTGTTTAGTCTGCACCAAGAGCTGCCGCACTGAGGTGCCGGCAAAACTGCTATGCCAGCCACAAGAGTCTCACTGGCGACCCTGGGGCTCCTCCACTGGGAATCTTCTGCTCTGTGAGCAACAAAAATTTGTCTGAAAGTGTGGCGTCCTCTCATTCTCTGTGCTTTAACTGGGAGCTGCAATCCCGAGATGTTAGCAATCAGCCATATTGGATCATCATTCAAGCTTATTCCATTGAGGAATTTTGAGAAACAGTGGAGAACAAATCTGACTTATACTGCCAAGGCGCAAGGGAGCTTTGGGGCATTAAGCAATCAGCCCCTACCAGGCATTGATTAAAGGCTGTTGGGTGGTGGTGGTAAAAACACCCCAGCACTGCTGGCCTGCCTGGCATGCAGGTAGGGAAAACTTGTCTACTAAAGAAAACCAAACCCTCCAGGGAGACAGACTGGATTCTGGCAACTGGAAATGAGAGAGTGTGAATGGATGGTAAATGCTGAGGGGATACAGATGGACACCCACAGAGCCCCTCACATCACCACTCTTCTCTCAGTAAATACTTCTCATCATAAAATGGATTTGGCAGCCACTTGGAATATTCCTGAAGATTGAACTGTTGGATCTATTTGAAACACGAATCTTCTGATTAATCTTTAGTAAAATAATATTGTTTCACACAGGCTTATTTCTGTGGAAAAATGGAGAGACATTTCTTTTTAAGTTAAAATTAAGTTGTAATGTCATTTTTATGATAAATTACATTGATCTCTGTCAAGTCACCTAGAGCTAAGACTTGATGGGGTTTTTAAGATAGGCATCACTTGGCTTGCTAGTCTGTAGTTGTAACATATAGGAAAGAATCCAGCACAGGCTGGTTTGCTAAGTGGGGAGAGGTACCATGGACAGAGGCACGGCTTCTGACTGCAGTACCTCAATCTCTGCCTGGCCTAACAATAGACTGGGGTGAACCTGGACGGGTGAGTGATCTTTTCTCATCTATAAAATAGAAATGATAACTTATATAATAACATATTTATTATGAATACTTGTGAGATATATGTGTACATACATATATGTGTTATTTATTATGAATACATGTGAGATAGATGTATACTTGTGTTACATATATTCCATACATAGAATAGAAAGCAGCATCACATTATCTGGGTTTTTATTCCAGCCACACCACTTGGGAGCACCTCTTAATCTAAGTTCCAGTTTCCTTGTCTGCTTAATGAGCCTTATAATGGTATGCTTCTTATTTGGTTTTAAGAATTAATAAAGGGCATTTTAGAAGTTTCTGGCATTCAGAAGGTGCTCAATACAGGTTAGTCACAATTATGTTATTGGCATTAAAACTAATAATAATATCATTATTTTTCAAGCAATTGTTACTGTGTAGTTTTTACCAGCCTTGCAACTTTTTACTTGTGATCTTTACAAAAAGTCAACATGGTAAGCTTTGGCTAGCATTTTTTTTTGTACCAAACTCTATGTGCAGATAGTCATTAGAGTATTTGTAATGTTTTATCATGTGGGAATTTTTAATTTAAAGGGAGCCTAAGGCTTCAAATGATTCATGCAGAGAGAATGGGTGATAATTTAATATTCAACCTTAAAGCAAACTTTTATTTATCTTAGATCTTTTCCCCCTGCCTCCCATAACTATCTTGCTGATGGTTGCTTCTAAATGAAGCATTGCCATAAATTATAATGGCCAACCAGGAGTCATCAGTCCTCTGTTGAGGGTCAAGTCACTAAATGGTAAAATCAGTAATAGTCTTTGTGTCTTCACCCAAATCACGACTTCAGCTACAATAAGTGTTGATCAAGAACATTTGCACATCACCCTGAAACACTTCTAGGGTACTTTAGCCTCAAGGTGCAGAGCTGATATATTAACAAGAATGTCTTTTGCATTTAGGCTCTCGGAAATTTTCCTTCATCCATGACTTTAATTGCCGATTACAGATGAAGTCAAGTTTGCGGGAAGCAGAACGTTCATGCATAAGGAGGGATGAAGGTGCAATGCATTTTCCATGAGAGGCACAGCGTTACTTTTAAAGATCAAGCTCAGCTCAGATTTGTTATGGCATTTTAGAACTTGAAGGTATCTTAGGGGCCTTCTGGTTATAATTGCCTTTTTTACAG